TTCGTTATTTGGTCCTACAAATATTGAGCTGCGGCTGGAAATGTTGGTGTAACTCGTCGGAAATCACGGAGGAATACTAATACGTCGTGTTTATCGTAAATCTTGACAATACCCACCTCCTACCATCACCTCTAAAAAGTTCAAACTTTGATTCATCACTCCAAATAATGCAATCCCATTCACTGCTCCATCCTTGGCCCAACACAGTCTTTTGGTCTGATTCTTTTCAGTTACAAGTGGTATTCGCTCGAGCAATGCTCCGACACTCTTGATGTCTTGTGCTTGGTTCTACATGTACATTGTCTTGGCTAAGACCCTTTAACCAAATTATTAAACACAACGTGAGATTTATTTATGTTATGATGTCTATATATTACATAGCAACTTAGCCCATTTACTTATCGATTTATAATACCTCGTCCGTTACATCTGAAAACTCAGATATCCAAGTGTTAAATTTGCTTTCCCAGAGGTCTGTGGGATATTGGTATTTCCACGAAGAGTTTTCAACTTATTTAGGCTTTCCATAAGTCTGGAATGAACTTGATCGGCAGGTATTTTTCCAAGCATTGTTTTTTTTCCTTCCAAACCAAGATTCCCACTGAGAATTAATCGTCTCCCAGTCTTTCGTTGTGTCACTTGTTGGATTGCCGAAAGTCTATTATTGAGCAAATTCGTTAGTAATAAGTAGAAATATAAGTAAGTAATAAATACCAAGTCTACATACCTTTCCAGGTCGTAAACTTTTGGTCGTCAAATACTGAAATTTAATCACTTTAAGATGTGTATTTATTTATTAGTTAACGGAAAATATCAATAGCTTACCTGGCTTAATGGGTTTTTTATTTGGGTTGTTACTTCCGTGTTTATCTTTCTCCTCTCTCTTACGCTTTAGCATTTTTTCATCGTTCTTGCTTTTCTTTGCCTGCATACAGAATAAGTTATTAAAGCTAAAAATAGTAAAATACCGATTATAATACTCACACTTTCTTCACTTTTCTCCGCATAATCTCCTGCAACATGTCATCACCCACTTGGAAATATCTTTTTGGGGAAATCGTTTGTCATCTTGAAATTTTTTGAGGTCTTTTATTGAGCCCTTGACGGTCTTAAGGATGTAATTTGTTGAACTTCCGGCCAAAGCTCAGCATCCATACGAAGCTCTCGACCAAAGAATGTATTGGCGTCAAAATTTCCTTACTAACTTATGGTTTGAATTGACTTTGAAGCCGTGTCTACAATTTAAAAAGAAATAATTTTATATATCAGCGAAGATTCATACTGATTGAAATTTACGTTTTCGAAATACCTTTTCATCTCGTCTACGACAAAAATATTCGTCTGAAGATGTTTCTTCTTCCGCGACAGACCTATTTTCCTCAGAAATCTTCTGCTTCTACTTGATATGAAGACTCCGGCTATATAGTTTAAAGTTATAAATGTTACGTAAATAATGTTATTAATTATAATGTAAGAGAGTTATTCACCTCGAACTCCGTCGTACCATCGTCGTCAGTGATATCATCGTTTTCTCCTTCCACTTCCAAATAATAGTCGGTTGGATATGTAGGCTCTTCAAATTCGAGGTTTATTCTAGTTTCATCAATTATTGCATCTTGCAGGCATATCTCTAAGCAAATTTAGATTAGACCTAGGCTTCTGTCCAAAGACTAGCTCATATGGAGTATGCTCGTGTTCATTGTTAACTGCCGAGCCATTGTCATAGTGATCACATTTTGACTGTAGGCGAAAATTTGTATTAAATAGTCGAGACATCAGAAAAAGAACCGATTTTATTTCTTATGGGTAGAGTTTTGAGTGGCGAGTAAAACCGACTTGATCAGCTAGTCATAAGAAAAAATTCAATTGGATTACTGCTATCAAAAGCAACAAGTTTACTTGATACAGTGAAATGGCATGGCATACCAATTGCAAAGATAGACTCGTTCTGATTTACGGCTAAACCCAGCCGATACGTGTGTTAGTTTACATGATCGTTGAACTTAATAACGGGTATACTTATATATCGATGATCCCTATAAAGTGATATTTGTAGGATGAGTATTACCATCTGATTCGTAACAACCTAGACCCAAAGTGACCAACCAGGTCTTATATACAGATCCATTCATCGCACTATGTACCAAGATCCAATTTGTTCAACGTGACACACGGATGACGATAGATGAAATTCGAACGTGCTCGATTAGTAGTCTGATTGAGTCGTCTCTACAACCAAATAATATGCTTGAAGACTGGACATCCCGTAGTATTAGTGATCTGGATACTATAATATAAAATACAGCGTCTAAGTATACTACCTCACTGTAATCGGCGTGAGTGACGAGGACATCACTAGGTTCCGAGCAGTATCATCATCTAATCCACTAATGACAATAACACTACGTGAGCTGCCTTAAAAATCAAGCAGTCAGGATACATATGACGTGAGAAAAAGACTAAAATTATTCTGCGCGCTAGTTTATTACCATGATGTATTATGAAACATTGATGAAGTCCAAATAGACGTTCTTCGATTAAGCGAGACATTGTATACAAACACAATAAGTGGCGTGCATGCTAAGAATTGATAAATCTTATAAACATATGATAACTAACCTACTGGCATAACGCCATGCCCAACGTAAAGGGAACCTGCATCAGCTGCATTCCTAACAACGTGAAGCTGTGTACAGGGAATTGAATATTTCAATCAACATCCCATAAACAATCTTAAGCTCGTTATACGTCTCCTGCAATAAGTGACAATCCCTAGCCAACATAAGCAAAACAATTGTTTGGTCCTGTTCTCACTGAGGAGACCTTATTGGGTAAAAATGGTGATTGTCAATATAATAACCGGTTGTCGCGATCAATGAAATGATACATGCAAACTTTTACTTCATGCTACTTCTGATGAATTGCTAGGATATATCGAGATGGTATCGTTTATAGGTTATTATATCGAAATAATCTAGAATACGACCAAAAGTGTAAAGCAAAGTTTATTATAATAATATACCAATCGTTTGATTGCTCTTACCTAACACTACCGTCAATGTACCCCACTATTATTGCGTTCGACATCCAAGGACGTATCTTTTATACGTAACAAGCAAAGCATTAGACAAAGACACTGATTTACTTTTGCATACTTTCCCGATTCGGCGCTGAAACGTTGAATAGAAGTCAGAAGCAATAGAAATAGCACCTTCGCGAGACAATGACTTTCATACAGTTCTCCCATGCGTCTCTATCAGAATATGATTTAGTACAAGTATATGCAAACCCGTGATAATGTCTATGAATATGTCGTATGTAAATCCCGTCCAGAGTCCCCAAGATATATGTAAATCCGGTATTTACATACATAGTGTATACAACAAATATACCTTTTATGCTAGATGGGAGAACGACCAGCAATTGGCCAAATTGACAGCTGCATTCTGACTTTGCACTGGTACAAGCCTATAATTAGAGTACTAGTATATAATTAGACTTGCAGTCTAAATTAATAGATTGGCTGTTTTTGCTACTTGTTGACTATCCGCGGGCAAAACTTATTATTATTTTTTTACGTGTGATCTGTGGAGAAATGTTATTATAAATGAAATACAATACAATTCGAAAGACCATACTATAACGAGGAAACGGTGCAGACACTTTTCTTCGTTACATCGAGGGATTCGTTTTCATACATATATCTAATTATAGTAATACGCATCGTTATATAAAAAAGTTCCGTTAATCTCTTTATTGTAAACATTCAAAATTGTTCAATATTTACAAATTTAAATTCACCAAGCGTTGTTTGACGTGCTAATTTAGACTACTTTGTGATATTGTTCTTCTCAATTTAGTCAAACACCTAACAACCGACACTTCTACTCCAAGATTTTTGCCAAAACACTATCAATTCTAACTAAAGCCTCTGAACTGGTAACAATCCGTTCCGATTGAACGTTTTCGTCTTCTTGACCGTCAACCTGGTTGATAGTGTCAACTATTTGTTGCGTTAAAGTGGCATTATCAGCACTATTGTTCAAGTCTATAGCTTTGTCGATATTTATATAGTTTTCTACGCTTATTAATTATTTATCGGTAATTATTAACGATCTCAATTTCAGTTTCATGAGTCTCATTCGCAGCGGTATCCATTCTGATAAATTCTGTTCATATATGCCGTGTGAGAGGATGTCAACACGCCAAGAAGAAACGGAAAAATTAATTGCATCCAAAATTGTGAGTTTTGGAGCTGCGGCGCAACCAATAAGACGCGCATCATATTGATCAATGAGATATGATTAAAAACGCGTCCAGTAATAAGCCTGACTGAACAATTAATAACCTTTAGACTGCATATTATGCTTTGGTCAAGAGGTTGCATTTGACTAGTAGTATTCGGTGGTAAAAAAATCACTCTAGCATTCGACTGTTCGAGATTATTGGTCTTGTGACTTGAGACATTATTTACAAGTAAGATAATTTTTCGGTTCTTCCTCCGATATATTTCATTCAGTTGATTAAGATAACTAGCAAAGATCGACTGTTGCATCCAAGCTGATTTATTGTGATAGTACCACACTTCCAAAGATTTTTTATCAAGACCACGTATAGCTCGAGGATTCTTAACGTTGTGAATAAACAAAAGTGGCAACTTTTCATCTCCAACTGCATTGCACTAACTAAAAGAGAGACACGATCTTTTGCTAATTTCTTCTCACTGATAGGCCCGTGAGCGAGAGTTTTTCGCGGTTCTAATTTCCAATATAATCCAGTTTCATCACAGTTAAATATGTCGCATGCATAATAATCAGCTCGAATTAATTTTAATTCGAATCTTTGTTGCGATAAAAGATCGCCATTAACACTTCCTGCCTCACCGCATTTTTTGTAGAATTGTAGGTTATTTCTTTTTTTAAATCCTTGCAACCACCCATTTGCTGCACTGAAACTCAAACAATGTGGCAAACTGCCTTGGTTTTTGTTTTATAATATAATCTGCGAGAGTTATTGTCGCAAACAGCGTTCTCGACATTGCCTCTTCAATATTTGGATAATAACTTTTACGACAACGTTTTGATCTTCCTGCTAACGATGTTTCATCAACATTAAGCCACTGTTTTTTGTCCGCCAATATTTTACTCACTGTTGACTCCCCACAATGAAAAAGCCTAGCAAGATCTTTGTTGGGGAGAGAAAAATTGTTTAGTTTTTTCTGACATAGGTCTTTTTTTTGCGCTCCAGTTAATGCTGCTCTAAGCATTTTTGGTATTATATTTTGCAACTTCAGTGGCAAAAGAATCTATAAATTGAGCACTTGACAACTCCATTCCTGAAATTTAGCAAAGATTTTATTAATTACTTGATATATATATATATCGATATAAAGGTAGTACAAGAAGCATATAACGATGATAGCCTTAAAACTTTTTGTAGTACAAGACAATATATAACGATTGTTGCACAACTTCAGTTTATCGAGGAAATTTTAAATATGGTATATCCAATATATAATATAGAGGAATTTATAATTTACTTCGTTATATCCAAACTAGAATCACGTTGCATGAAACATAACATATAATAGAACAACTAATGTATGAAATGGATGAGAAAATTGCATTGAAAACTGTTCAAACAATGTGTTATACGTATTATGCGGCAGATGAAGAAGCATGTGAGATGTGTAAACATTGGACGAAGACAAAATCGAGATTACACAATAAATAATGCAACACTTTAAACAATTTATTAACAATTTGAATAAGTAAATTTAATCTTAAGAATCAACTATATTCTTATATTATTATCAATTTTTGTCGTTATTGATCATGTATAAGTTCTTAAATGTGAAGCCTTCTATCATTGTGAAACAAAATAGTATAAAGATCACTC